CGCAGCTCTGCGGCCCGGACCGCCCCAGCCGACCCGGCTTTAAGAATGACGGGGCTCCCGCTCATAGGTCGGCGCCCCTCGGCTCACAAATCCGCGAAACCTTTTTTGTTTATTTGCTTTTTTCCCTCGTCTTCTCGGTGAGGCAGAGGAAGCGCTCGGGCTTGGGCTGCCGCCCTGGAAATGGGGTTGGGGTGGGGAGAGTCAGGGGGTCAGCGGGCCTGCGGCTTCTCGAGCCGCCGCCGGCTCCCCCACCTCCGGTTTCGGGGTGCCGGGCCCGAAGCCTAGCCGAACCCTCCCCCCACCCCCACGCGGGGGCCCAGTGGCCGCAGGCCCCGCCCACGTGGCGGGCTGCCCAGGGCGCGGGGCCCGACGGCCACCACACAATGGAGACCAAAGCAGGCCCCGCGCGTACCCGCCGCCTCGAGCCCCCCGCGCGCGGGGGGCGCCGGAAGGTTCCAGAACCGGCCTGCCCAGAGGGGGGAGGGGAGGGAGCGGAGGGGGACGCTGGCCGTCGAGCTTCTCGAGCCGCGACGGGTACCTCACGCCTTTCTCGGCAGGTCCACTCAGTCGTCCCGGCCACCCCGAGAAACGAGCGGCCCCCAATTTGGGCATCCCGGCCGTCGCCAGAGCGACCGCAGTTCCACTATACTCACCCGTGGACGCCATTTTCTCTCTCCTTCCTTCTCGTTCTCTCAACGTCCGTCTCCCTCTCGCTTTCCCTCTAGGCGCCGCACTGCGCAGGCGCGAAACCCGCAACCTCGGGCGCTACCATCGGGCCAGGCCACGGGGGTGAGAGAGGGAGGGACGAACCACAGCTTTCTCGCCCTTCGCGCCCGCAAACCTAGTCCTAATCCTCTCTAAAGAGCACCGGATGTGACGTGTGGGCCAAAATAGCACCGCAGGGGCGGGAGCGGCTGGCGAGCGGATCTTGGTAACAAGTCGGAGTGATTCTCCGGTTGATGCTAGGTTGTTTGGAATGGTTACTCCCGCTGGCTCTAGGGACCGTCTCTGAAGAGTCGGCCTTGGAGGGAAACGGAGGCCGGTGGGAAGGCGGGGGGAAGGGACCGGGGCCTAGAACAACTGCTGACTAATCGGCGGGCGGCGGCGGAGGAGGAGGGGTGGCCTGCCGACCGGTCGGCCCGGGTCACGCGCCCGAGGGCGAGCAGAATGGGCTCGGGGCGCTCGGGTTTCGGCGGGAAGCTAGAGTACCCAGCCAAGGGCTCCACTCAGCCTTCTGGGGGCGGGGGGCGCGCTGCGCTGTGAGTACCCCAGACACGTGGCCCGGTCCGCGGGGGAGGGGGCCAAGGCCGGTGGGCTGGATGGGAGGCTCCGAACGTAGCGCCCGGCCCGAGAGCCCCCCAGTAACGGTCGAGGTTGAGAAGACCCTTTAATCACCTCTCATCCAACAGCCTTGTTTTTACAGAAGGGGAAACTGAGGCCCAAGGACTTGGGGTACTTTTCCTAAAGTCACAAAGCTGAGCCCCACCCACAGCCTGGGACACCCCCCCCCACAACACACACACACACACACAGTCCCTCACCCGGAAGAATTGTCCCCGTTTTCTAGATAAAGAGACTGAGACCTGGGGCGTTCAGATCCCAGTTCTGCTGGTCCATGGGCAAGTCTCTCACTCTTGCTAAAGTACACGGGGTGGGAGGGCGGGATGGTTGTGAGGGTGCAGGAGAAGGTTGGCAGTGGGTGCTTTGGCTCCCCGCAAGGCTGGCACCTGCGTGACTTCTTGGACTCAACCCAGTCTCCCTAGGCAGATGCCGAGGCCCAGCGAAGGGCAGGGCTCACCAAATGCTTCAGCGGGACCTGGAGCAAAGCTAGTGTCTTTCTTTCAGTGAAGACACATAAAGCACGAGCTGTGTGCTAGAAGCACCCTGGGGAACTTGACCATGAGTAGGAGGAGCACCCCTCCTCCCCCAGTTCAGACCACCTGCCCAAGCGGTGCTCACTGGATAGGGTAGGCTCCAAGATGTGGAGGGACCAGAGAAGGGGAAGGGGACCTTTGAGCTGGGCTTTAGTGGGTGAATAGGAGTTTGCTGTTAGAGAGATGAAGGGAAGGACGTCGCAGGCAGAGGAGTTTCCTATATTTTTCCTGCAGGAAACTGCTGGGTGGGTTTTGATGCCAAGGATGCCCATGACAAGGGAGCAGATGAAGCAGCCTTCTTTTCTCTGGGATTTTGCTTCCTGCCCTATAAAATCAGCTCAGTGGGAGTCCTGAGACAGGCTAGGGTACAGGAGTGAGGGGATTCCAGCAGGGCCTAGAGGACAGGCTGGATGTGAGGAGGGAGAATGGGAGAGAAAGCCTTGCCTCATGGGCAGGAAATTGGCACATTTGAGGGCTGGAGCAGCTGCTTCCATTTCAGGCTTCCCCTTGTTGGGGACAGCCAGGATGGCTACAGTTTATCCAGCAGGAGCTGTGGGACTGCCTGAGTCCATTCCTTTTTGTCATCCTATGAGGAATGGATTTTCTTAATCCCCAATTTACAGATGAGGAAGGAGAGGCTCCAGATCTGCCCAGGGAGAGATACACAGCAGGAAGAAGTGGAGTGGATACTGAAACCTTTCTGTGAAAGGGAGGGTAGGGTCAGAGAGGCTGTGGTGGGGGCTCGAGGAAGGGGACGTCTCTGTCCAGTGTCACTGTGTGCACTCAGGGTGTGACTCCTGTTGCCTCTCCAACCCTTCTGCTCCACCCCCTCCCTAATCTGCCTGCCCTTTGGCTGGCCTTACTCCCTCTGTCAAGGGCAGCTCAGGCCACCTGGAGCTCTAAGTCAATGGAGGGGAGGAGGGAGGGAGGAAGGTAGCTGGTCTGTAGCCTGAGGGAAGAGGGAGGCAGAGGAAAGCTGGAGATGGCCCTGAATTTGCCCTGGGGGGCTGCACAAATCCAAAAAATTTTGGGAGTCCAGGGTTCCTGTTCAACTTCCCATCCCTGTGCTTCCCACTCCAGGCCCCTTTCCAGGGCCCATCAGGGCTCAGGGACCTTTTGGCCTGGCCTCTTCCTATCCTCACACATCAGTGGGATGGCAAGATGGCTAAACACATGGTTAGGCTCTGAGGTCCTCTATGGCCAAGTTGCTGCACCTGCCTCACCAGCCTCAGGTTTTATTTCTGTAAAATGGTACTGTTGGTATGGTAGCTGAAAGGAAGTCAGATAAAAGCTGCAATAATAACTGTTGTTATTGTTTTCCTTTACCCCTAGCACACAGCCCCAAGACCACCTTTGATCACCTTCAGACAAGCTATGCATGCCAGACGTCCCCCTGGCCTACTGACCCCGGCGCTGCCTCTCGCCTCCTCCATCCTGATGCTGCTCATGAGCAGCCTGTGGCTGCTGGGAGCCGGCCCCAGCCTTGTCCTGGCCCCAGAGCTGCTGCTGGACCCTTGGCAGGGTGAGGGCCGGCCACATGGGCCTTGGAGGAGGCAGGAGACTTGCTGTAGGGCCTGAGACCAGTTGGCAGGAGCAGCATGCATCCTGCAGTTGTCAGGCAAGGACAGGACCCAGGGCCCTGGGGAAGGTCAGCCTTGGACGGGAGCATGCCCAGCTCAACTACAGCCAAGAAGGGAGGGCCGAGGACCTGGGCAGAGGGGCCAGCACAGGGGTGGGAGCCTGTGAGTAGGAATTCTTTTCAGACGGCTCCCCTTTCCGGTGGCTTTCCCTTAAAATAAACTAAGACTTTCAGCTAAGCCCAAGAACAGGAAGGAGGCACTAGGGGTTTGAAGAGTAACCCCAGCTGAACACCTGTTTCCCAAGAATGACAGCTTCCATTTACATTTGAGGAACCCAAATGATGCTCACAGAAGTGAAGTGACTTATCCATTGTTGGTTGTTCTTAAGAAGACCGAGGGTTGGGTCTGGCTTGTTCTACTTAAAGCAGCAGGGGGCTGGTCACAGTGTTTGGAAGCCCTTGGTCCCCACCACCAGTGATTAAACTACTGGCAGTGGGCAGACTTTAGCTCCCGGGGAGGGGGTGCTGGCTTAGTGGGCGGCCCTGGCGGAGGGTGTTTCCCCATCTGGCACACCGGGGCCAGCCTTGGGGGTTAGGGCCACTAACCTGGCACATAAGCCCATTCTCTCTCCCAGCGCACCGGCTGCTGACACATGCCCTGGGCCACAAGGCCCTCCCAGGGCTGCTGCTGAGCCTGCTGCTCCTGCCCACGCTGGGCTGGCGGCAGGAGTGCCACCTGGGCACACTGCGGTTCCTGCATGCCTCCACCCTCCTTGCCCTGGCCTCCGGGCTGATGGCTGTGCTGCTGGCAGGCCTCGGGGTGTCCAGTGCAGCCGGGGGCTGTGGATACATGCCTGTCCACCTGGCCATGCTGGCGGGGCAGGGTTACAACCCTAGATGGCCCCGTGGGGCACTGCCACCATGGCTCCTGCCGTGGCTGCTGCTCGCCCTGACACCACTGCTCAGCTCCGAGCCGCCCTTCCTGCAGCTCTTCTGCGGCCTCCTGGCTGGCCTGGCCTGTATCCTTTGCCTGGGCCCAGGGCTCGTGTGGACATGTGGGTTCTGTGGCTGGACCCCCAGGGTGCCTGGGAAGGAATTGGCACAAGGGGTCGGGCCCCCACATTCACACACATCCCAGGAGCGTCTCCAAGTCCTCTTGCCTGGCTCTGGGCTGGGAACTGGGGGCTTGTGGCCATGTAGAGGTACCAATTACAATTTAAAGGAGAGCCTGGGAGCTGAGGGGCCCAAGGAGGCACTTAATCTGGACGTCCCAGTGGAGGTGGGTCTACGCTGAGACCATGCAGAAGGAGGGGTTCAGGTGACGAGAAGTGGAAAAGGAGAGCACGGGGCTGGCAGACAGTACGGAGGGTGTTAAGGACCAGGGTGAGCGTGAGCCTGTGGCTCTCCTGGCACCAAAAGGGGGAACAACCTGCGGCCGGTGGTGCAGGTGTGTTAAACAGGCTTTTGCTCCAAAGATGCTTAATGCCTGTCGGGGACAACAGTGCAGTCAGAGGGAACAGTGGGTGCAGGCTGACCCTGGAGTCGTTTAGGATTGGGGACACCCGGCTGAATCCTGGAGAGGGGAGCATGTCGCCCTGGCTGGGGCAGGGCCCAGGGGTGGGCCTGGTGTCACAGGCCTGAGCAGGCACACAGGCCTCAGGGGACAGCCGGCAGGGGGCAGCTGAATGGGGATGAGACAGGTTTTGGGATGAGGCACAGCTGGCTCTGCCTCTCATTGGCTGGGTAGCTTCAGGCAGGGCCCTTTTCCCTCTCTGAGCCTCCGCTGCTGACGAGGGTGATGACACCTCCCTGGCAGGGCCACAGTGAGGAGACAGGAGGGAATTCCCATCACACACTTGGCACAGGGCCTGGCATGTGGCGCAGGCTCACCCCTGGCTGAATGTGGTTTTCCTTGACCCGCCGCCCTGCCCTGGGCAGACAGACGCGGCTGGGGCCTTCCGGTGGCTGGAGATCTCTGAGCAGCGGCTGCAGGCACTGCAGGAGGGTGTCCTGTGCAGGGCCCTGGTGGGGTGCTGGCCGCTCCAGCTCCTTCCCACCCCAGGCAGCCTGGCTGAGCTGCCTGTCACCCATCCTGCTGGAGTGAGGTGAGGGTGATGCCGAGGACACTGGCCCCGGTGGTGGAAGCCATGCCGGTGGCTGGCAGTCAGGCCTTCTGCTTCTGCCCCTCCAGGCCGCCCACCCCTGGACCTCCTTACATGGCCTCCCCTAGCCTCTGGCCCCTCAGCGAAGGCTCAGCCCTGCTCCCGCCAGGCCTGGGGCCTGTGCAGCCGCTCTGGGAGGGCTCCTCAGAGGTGGGACTGGCCTGGTCTGGGCCCAGCTTCCCCCCAGGGACCCCGCTGTGGGCAGCCCTAGACGAGCAGATGCTGCAGAAGGGGATCCAGGCCTCGCTCCTTGAGGGGCCAGTCCAGGGTCCCGAGAGCCCACTCCGGCTGTCTAAGTCCTCCGTCTCCTCCCTGCGGTAAGGTGGGGCAAGTAGGGTGGGGTCCCCTGGTGTGGGGGCTGGAGGCGGCCCTGACACTCCCTCCCTGTCTCCCCTTCCCACAGGCTGCAGCAACTGGAGCGCATGGGCTTCCCCACGGAGCAGGCGGTGGTGGCCCTGGCAGCCACAGGCCGTGTGGAGAGTGCTGTGTCACTGCTGGTCGGTGGAGAGGTGGGCACCGAGGCGCTGGTGACTCAGGGGAGGGGTGGGCCCACCCACCCTGAGGGTCCTGGGCCCCCCTAGCACAGGCAGGCTCTCAGGTGAGAAGCCTGGCCTGTGGGTGGGAAGTCAGAGCCCAGCCCTGTCCTGAGAGTCAGGGTGGGTTCAGAGGCGGCCCCCCAGCATCCTGCCCTGGTACTGTTTAGAATAAAAACCAGTTCACTTTTCAACCTGGACCTCCTTGGAGGCAGCAGTTGTGTCTGACTCTTCTACGTTAGCATCAGGGGGATGAATGAATGAATGAAAGAATGAACGAGCAGTGAATGAACAGCCAACTGCAGGAGAGCAGCTCCCTGATGTCCAGAGACACAGTGTTACTGAGCTTCCGCCTCAGGGTCTTTGTTGGGCTGGACCCTCTGCCAAGGAGCATTTATCATCTGTTTCCCAGCTAATTTCTACCCATCCTCAGGTCTTGGCCTACACAGAGACCTTCCTCCAGGAAGCCTTCCCTGATTCGCCAGGAACAGCATCCCTTCACTGCCCACAGCCCCGTGTCCCTGCTGGACAAGGGCCAGTTCAGTCGGACAAGGGCCAGAGCCCCAGGGCAGGCTCTGAGGCGGTGGCTGGG